ACCCACTCAGAGCCCCAAGTCAGCAGGGAGTGCAGAGGACAAGCGGCAGATTCCATGCCCCCAGCACATGAGCAGGAGGGTCCGAGAGTCCGTGGCTGCTCCACAGTCACGGCCCTGGAACACTCCGGAACGGCGTCCCACCTACATGCCACCGCAGCCCTGGACGCTGGCGGTGCCCGAGCCCCGAGTGCACCCCTGGGCCGCCTGAAGCCCCGCCAGTTCCGGAGCCAGGCCACATGTGGACACCGGTGCTTCCTGCCTGAAGAACAGCCATGTCACCTGCTGTCGCTTCCCAGGTTGCTGGGAGAAGCGGGGGACAGCATCTCAGGCAGGAAAGCCCTGCACGTGGGGCAGGGCCAGCGCTCCAGCGTGCACATCCACCAGAGCCCACTGTGGGCAGCACCGCCCTCCGCAGCAGGGAGAGGCCTGATTCCAGAAGAGGAGCCTCATTGAGCACGAGAGATGAGTTGTAGAGTGTGAAAGTAGGGGTAAGGGCTGGAGGAAAGCAGGTGGGGGAGGGTGCTAGAGGTTGTGCGTGGCAGGGGAGGTCAAGTTGTAAAGGAGGCTCAGAGTAGGCCAGTCAGAGCAGGTGACACTGGGGCAAAGACCTGAAGCAGGGGAGGCAGGGAGCAGGGCAAACGTGGGGAGGAGGCTCTAGTTGGAGTGAAGGGCAAGGGGGAAACTTGAGGCTGAAGGTGCTGAGGGCTGCAGGGCCAAGAAGGAGCCTGAGGGGTACGCGGAGGGGGAGGGGTTAGGGGCAGGAGTGGGGGTGGACAGAGAGGCAAAGCTGGGCCCACTGCCAGGGTGGACTGTGCGGAGTGAGGCAGGGGTCTGGGGGTGTGGAGCAGGGCAGGGACAACTGGGTCCTGAGTCTCACGGGGCCCCCCACTGCCGGGGAGAGACTGCAGGGAGCACAGAGGCAGGGAGCAGGCAGGAGGCCCCTGCATTGGTCCAGGCACCATGGTGGCGGGGCAGGGGGGCACCTGGCATATACTAGATCTGGTATCACGTGAAGGCTGAACAAACAGAGCATGAGGATTGCTCAGTCCATAAATATTAAGCATGGTTAGTTCTTGCCAATTCATACTATTTTTGCCCAACATCTGCTTACAGAAAGCTATTCTAAACTTTGTTATTTTGAGGGGTTGCTTGTTACTGCATTATATCCTAACATGTCCTAACAGTCACCCCGAGGCGAAGTCAATTGTGAAAATGCACCTGTAGGGATGCTTGGGTGGCTCAGATGCTTAAGCATCTGCCTTCGGCTCAGGTCATGATCCCAGGGTCCTGGAATCGAGCCTTGCATCCGGCTCCCAGCTCAGCGGAGAGCCTGCTTCTCCCTCTGCCTCTGTTGTTCCCCCTGCTGTGTTTTCTCACTCTCTCTGTCAAATAAATAAATAAAACCTTTAAAAAAAAAAAAAGAAAGAAAAAGAAAAAGAAAATATACCTGTATATGAATAGAAAAAAAGAATAAAGAACTAAAGTAAAAATTACTGTCTTAAGGAGGTGAGCTATCAGTGATTTACACACCCTTTTATGTTTGTACTTTCCAAAAGCCTCCAGCCTCCTATCGAGGATGCAGGACTGTATTAAAGGGGAAGATGAGCGTCATCGTGGAGAACACCAGCCCCGCCCTGGGCTGTGGCGCCTCTCCCTCCCCTTTGGCTCCAGCGCACTGAGCCTCGTCCCACCCAAGGATCCCTTTATTACAGATCCTCTAGTTCTTGGATTGTCCCCTGCGCACAATTTAGCACGGCCATACACCGTCTTGTTCCCAAACGTTTAATTTAATGTCTCCCGGCCTGGGATTCTCAGCTCTCAGCGCGGCGGTAGCAGGAAGGGAGATCTTCAGGGGTCGCTGAGCGCCCACGCTCCCTCGGGGCCTGGACTGATGAGAGCTAATGCCGAGTAGCCAGGAATGTGCTCCACACTTTGCACACATTCATCTGCTTAATTGTTTCCATAATCCTGCAAAGGAGGCACTAACCCTATATCCCACACCATTTTACAGCTGAAGATACAGAAGCTCGGAGAAGTTTAGAAACTCTTCCAAGATCACACAGCTCAGAAGTGGTGGAGCTGAGCCTTGAACCCGGGCAGTCTGCTCCCAAGTCCCAGTTCTCGCTCTATTGAATGTCAGCTTTTATGATGCCCGGGCCCTGTGCCGGGGGCTTGGTGCCCCAAAACAGCATGGGGGCACTTCCCTGCCAGCTGAGCACTGCTGGTGATTGTTGGAACAACACCAGAAACACTTAACACATGTTAAGGGGGCTCCCTCTGCCCCAGACACCTAACACATGTTAAGGCATGGGGTCCCCCCAGCATCCTAAACACCAGACTGTCACAGTCCCTGTGCTACAGATGAAGATCAGAGACACCAGAGTCCCTGGGTTTGCCCAGAGTACCCCTCACCCCAAGTGCCCCCTGCCATGTCATGTGAGCCCAGGCATCGGCTTCCCGCCAGGGCGGCCTCATTAAATCCTCACATTAACCCGGTGTGGTTGGTATTACTGTGCCCATTTCACAGAGGGGAAAACTGATGAAGCTTGTGGAGGGTAAGTCACTTGCCAAGTCACACAGTGAGTGAGGGCTAGGGGCTGAGTCTACACCCAGGCCCCTGGGATCCGAGGGTGAGAGGTCCAGGGCAGGGGCGCCCTCCAGATGCGGGAGAAGGGGCTTACCAGGGGCAGAAGAGATCACAGCCCCAACACAACATAGAGTAATAATAACAGAGCCCTCCACTGAGCGTGTCATGGGGTTACCTCATCTTTGTCTGGCCTCCTCCCCATAAGGCAGATGCTTTTATTATCTTCAACTCGCATGTGAGCCCACTGAGCTCAGAGAGGTGAAGTAAGTTTCCCGAGATCTCACAACGGGGGAGCGATAGAGCCCAGACTGGGAACTGGGGTCAGTCAAAGCCTGTGATCTAAGCAGTGCCTGGGGCTCAGGACCATTACCAGGGATGGGGCCTCCGCTGTGGGGGTTTGGAATTGCAGGACCCCAGCACCCTCAGGAGAGGCTCTGGCAGAGAGAGATGCTGTCCTAAGAGCAGGGAGGGGAGAGAGCAGGAGGCTCAGTAGGGAAGGGGGGAGCCTGGATCATGAACAGCCCAGGAACCTGGCCCAGGTGGGCTCCCTGCAGGGGCCTCCGTGATGCAGGGCAGCGCTGCCCCAGACATCACTGTCACCATGGTGTTCCATCGGGCACAGAGACCCTGGGTGGTGCCTGGGTGGCTGCCTGGGATCCAGGGGCCTGACTCACTGCGGGTCCTAAATCTGGCAGGACTCCATCTAATTGTCACTGTCACGACTAAGAACATCCTGTGACAGCCATCCACTCAGAACATCGGCTGCGGGCCCAGAGAAGAAGGCAGTTGCTGAAGATGGTTTGGCGGGATTCAAAGGGAAGAAGGGGTAACTGGAAGCCTGGGGGAGACTCGGGCTGGGGGGCTGGCTGCCTATTCCGGGGGTGGGCCGTTTCCCAGCCCCAGAAGGCTCCACTCACCGAAAATTAGAATCAGAGGATTCAGAGCAGGATTGAAAAATAATGTTACAATATTTAAATCTCCCCCAGCCCACCCTGGGTCTCCTCACAGTGCTTGTCACCACCTGGCATTGTCCCCCATTGCCCCCAGCAGTAGAGTGGTTGAGTCCCACACACCTAGAAGAGCCTGCCACAGAACTATTTGGCAAACTTGCGGTTGGGAGAATGGACCTCAGTTTACTCATCTGTAAAAGTCAACTATATGGTCTCTCCCTGGTGTACCTCCAACCCCCATCTCTTTGGGAAGCTGGGAGGACCAGGAAGGCTGGAAGGGTGGTGATGAGCCCATGTCTGAGTGGCGGGTGCTGGCCTCGGTGTCAGCAAGCTCTCCGCCCCCAGCAGGGCTGGGCTGCTTGTTCCGTTTCACACTTGGGGCCCCAGTGCCGGCCGGGAGCTTCATGTGCAGTTCTTAAACGGATGTACCTGTAGGTGTATGATTGTTAGAAACGGTTTTTGCGTATTTCAGTAAAACTATAAATATGGAACTTATTAGCCATCATTATCACATGCTTACATTTTGAAAGGCTATATAGTGTATATTATATCCTCAAAGAGTGGAACTTGCCGATTATGATCAAGAACAATGACAGCACTGATTACATTGTTTATTCATCATCTTGGAGAAGGAGAGCAACGGGGACCACGGACAAATATCCCCACACTTCAGACAGGTTCTGGGGCTCCGGAGCTCTGGAGGGACAGAGATCAGGGTGAGAATGTAAATCCACCCCAGCCCCCAGCCTGGGACCCTGGGGACACTCACCAGGGCCAGGAGGGGTCCCCTAGGCACCTGCCCGTGCCAGGTCCCACCAGGCCCCGCAGTGGGTCAGAGCACCACAACTGGCACCCGTTTGCCCTCACTTGTCCTAGGGTCACCGTCCTGAGCCTCAGCTGCAACATGGGGACGGAAGCAGCTCCCTCGTCACAGGGGGGCTGGGAGGACTCAGTGAACGAGCAGGAGCGAAGGGCACCCAGCCCACGGAGGAAGCGATCACCCATGTGAGCTCCTCTTCAGCCCTTGTCACCCCTGGGACTGTCACGGAGGAGGCACATGGGCCCATTTTTACAGATAGGGCTCATCGCGGCAGTAGCTCACAGCTATTAACACCCCCTCACACCAGGTGCCTCCGTGCACGACGTTGTCAACTGCACGGCCCCCTCCTCAGCAAGTACTGTCACTGTCCCCACTCCACAGGGGAGGAGGCTGCACAGTGGACCAGATCACATGGCTGTGGAGGACTGAGGCTCAGTGTAGGGCTTTTGGCCCCCAGGGCTTGGTTTGGGCACCATCCCCGAACCCACCCTGCTGGGGACGCTCCGTCACAGTGCCAATGAGAAGGTGGTGGACACGGGCAGCCCTCTCCCTGCAGCCCACCCCTTCTTCCTTCACTCGCAGAGCCCTGGATTTGTTCTTCAGCAAGAACAAAAAAAAAAAAAAAAAGACCTGGGGGGCCTCTCCAGCCCAGGGGTGAAGCCAAGCCAAACCTGGCACGCACGCCCCCCTCCCCCACCCTCTCCAGACATAGGCTTTAGGAGAGGGTGTGTGATCCAGATCTGGCTGGTAAGAGGGAAAATCTGATGGTAGAGAGAGAGCTCCTGGGAAATATTTCTTCTACCTCACTCTACTCCCTTCCTCTAGACTTGAATGTTGGCCTGGGAGGTGATGTTTGGAGCTGTGGCAGACTTCTTGCTACCCTGAGGCAGTACACTAATGACAAAAAGCCAACAGCCAAGTATGGTAAAGAGGAGCTAGTAAAAGACCCTGGGTCTTTGCTGATGTCTCTGAGCATCTGACCAAGCTGCAACCATCTTCCTCCAGCCAGCAGATTATGTGGGGACATCTCATGTCTCAGTTGTTTGGGTGACTGTTTTTCAGTTTTCTGATACCTGCTGCCCAACCACCTTAACCAATGGAGGTGCCTCCTCTGTGCCCCATGCGCACCTGCTGGAGCCCCCGCCACACAGGGTCATCACCTGCCACCCCTTCAGACCTGAGAACTCCAGAAGTAAGGGTGGTGTCTTGGAGGTCTTTGTAGCTCCCAAGTGTCACATGGGTCATGAGGCACAGCGATTACCATAGCATAAATAATATGAAGGAAGGGAAGAAGGAAAGAACAGTTAATAAATAAATGATCATAGTGAAGGTGGAGTTGCTTTGCAAACTGTGAAGTGCTGGGCCCCAATGCCAGTGAGGTGCTGGCCTGCGGATGCCTGTGGGGGATGGGAAGCTGCAGAGTGGAGAACCAAGATCAGAGAAGATTCCTCAGGGGGAATGACACCGTGTCTTCCTCCCAGACACCCCCTGCCTCTCCACCCTGCTGTGCAGACCACAAATACCAGGTCAGTGAACCCCCCCGCCCCCTCCTACCCCCCCACGCAGGATCCCCCAAGCTGCCGGAACCTCTGACAGCAGGCACATCCGTCCCTGAGCAGAGGCCGAGAGGCAGGTTCTGTGCTGCGATTCTTTGTGTTACTTTTTCAAGGTGTAAGAGGAGGGGGCACCAGGAGGAGGGGGAGCACGGGTGGGGGGCATCAGAATAAGGCAGCAAGGAGGAGTGGGAAGAAACTGATCGGGGCCAAGGGCTCTTGAAAATTCTGCTCCAGGTTTCCCAGGGACGCTGGATTAAAGGATCATTTTAAATGAATTCTGCCATCAGGGTAAGAGATCTGCTCCACCCCCCAAGATGCCTTCCGCTGACAGCTGGCTTCAGGAGATCTGACAGAATTCATTTTTCCAAGCAGACAAGAGGGATCTCGGTATTAAACAAAACACCTTCCACCACGAGAACTCTGTTAACTCCTTAACTTCGTGGCGGGGTGGGGGTGGGGTGGGGGGAGTTTCTGGCAAAACTGGGAAGTCCTTTGCTTCCCCTGGAGGGCTGCCTGTGGTGGGGCGAGCATAGATGGAGGTGATGGAGCCCCTCCTCATGTCTGCCTCCCTGCCCTCTGGGTCGCCCTGGGGAACCAGCCATGCAGAGACCTGACCTGCCAGAGGTGGAGGCTCGGGGCCTCAGCGTCTCCTCCGTTACCCTGTTCTGGCTTTCAAAGCTGCCATATCCCCAGGAGACACGTTTCCCGTGTCACTTCCTTTTGTGCACAAGGTCCCCGAGTACTTACCTCTGTGTGGGACTGCTGGCAGTCACTCATCCTCTCTGACCTCAGGGTCTTGGCTGTAAAAACCACAGGCTGGATGAGATTTACTTCCAGAGCCCACTGATGTGAGGGTCCCACAGCAGGAGGCCAGGGGACAGCGGTCCCCAGGAGACATGCAAGGGCAGGGGACGGGGAGGAGAGCAGGAGGCTTGAGACACAATCCTGCGTGGCCACACGGGGGCATCCTGTGAGCATCTGTGGCTGCTGTCATGTTGTCCTCAGTTGGGGTAAAGATGCTGGCTCTGGCCAGACAGACTGGGTTCAAATCCCAGTTCCACCATTGACTTGTTCTGTGCCTCAGCTACCCCATCTGCAACCCTGGGATGATACTCACACGGGCCTCCCAGGCTGAGGGCAAGGTGATGCTCATGAAGGGGTGGCTGGGATGGCGGTGGCGACGATGACGGTGACGGTGAGGTGGTGAGTATAACGGGGGAAACTGACAGTGACAGCTGTGATGATCTTGACAATGGGGAGGAGGAAGTGGAAGAAGAAGAAGATCCCACCCCTCGCCCCCGGCCCCAGAGTGATGATCAGAGCAGTAGTCATCACACTAACGACGGCTGGCACCAACGGGATGTTTCCTGAGCTTCTTCGCCTCCATCCCGCAGAGGACAGGTGCCATGAGTGCTCGCTGTGCCCCCACCTGTCACCCCCACACCCTGAGCTCCCAACCCTCCCACCATGCCCTGCTAGTAGCCCAAGCCAGTGGTGTCCTGGTTCGTCATAGAGTCAACCAACCTAAAGGAGAGCAGCTCCAAACAGCTGCTCCTGCCCACTGGCAACTCCAGTGCGTCCCTCTGGCCCCTATCCCATGGAGTGAGAATGACACATGCCCCTGCCTTCAGTTTTGGGGCTTTGTGAGGGGTGAAAACAGTGGGACCTCAAGAAGCAGCCATTGACCCTTCCGGGACCCCCGCTTTGCAGAAAGCCTCTGGAACACACACCAGGTCAGCTTCCCTCCCCAGACCCAAACACGGTCAGAGCCGCCCTGTTTTCAGAATCAGCGAGAATGACAGGTGGAGGCTTCAACTATGTAAACACTACATCTACACATGTGGTCTCGGCAGCATTCAAATCAGGCAAGCCCCTGCCTCCCAGCCAAGGGTTGAGCATGTGTGCACACGGGTGTGTGTGTGTGTGTGTTCACGTGTGTGTGTGTGTGCAGGGCCCCACGTTCTTCAAGGTCTCCAGTGTGCCCCCGGACATTGTCTCTGAAAGCGATTCTTCCCAGCCATCAGGCCATAGGGACAGGCAGAAAGACCAGCCCTCCACTAGCAGCCTCCAAATTATGTCTTGGTTCCTGTCCACTCGGCCTCACCTGCAGCAGGAATGTGCTTTTTCAAAATAAACTTCGTGATTACCTGGGGATCACACTTCACACGTTTGTTGATGAAAGTGTAAATGTGTACAATGTAAATATTGCAGCGATAGCTTAGTGTTTGTGACTCTCTTTTAGCGTTTCTTGATTTTTCCAGTTTCCTGGGAGCCTTGAAGTGGGGAAGAAGCTGGGCTGCTCTGAGCGCCGAGAGGCTTGTGCTGGGCGGACGTGGGTGGGGAGGATGGCGCATTACCCCACAGCCGTGCACCTGCCCCAGGCACAGAGCCCTGTTGAGTATGACTGCAGACACACTGGGAGCATGCCTGTGGGGTCCGGTCCTGTTCCCTTCCTGCTTCTTGGATGGAAGAGGGAGGAAGTTGAATGAGCAAGCGACTCCCTACCAGCGGAGGGTGAGAAGAAGCCATGCCATCATCGTGCCCCCCAGAGCCCCGCCCAGACCCTGGCATGCAGGGGTCCCAATAGAGATGTTTGTTGAATGGATCAATCACGGTCCTCTGACGGGTCCCTGGAGGTGGTGACCCATGGACGGTAAATGGCTCAAAGCAGAAATCAGAAGCCATGGTTGGGGGCTCAGGGAGCCCTGGACGCCGAGGGAGGATGGGTGGGTCAGGTGGGGTGGTCCTGAGTCACCCCAGGACAGGCCTAATCCTCTGCAGCCACCTGGTGTCTGTTCTCTGGAAGGAGTAGCTTGGGAGGTCCAGCTGCTCTAAGAAGAGCCTGGTGGGCAGACACCCCTGCTTTGTCTCCCATCTGCCGGTTACTAAGTGCAGCCCACTTCTTCCCCTACTGGCTTCTACTTCCTTGTGTCTGATGCCGCCCCGTCCCGTCTGCACCCACTCAGCCCCAGCCAGGGATTCTCTTTCTGACCACACCCTCCCAGACCTTCCCCTCCCCACCCCCTTCCATGGTTCTCCAGGCTGCCCTGCCCACCTTCCCTTAAAGTGTGACCACCGCCCGAATTCCTGCAGCGTCACAGGTGGGTAGTGCCCAGGGAGCTGCAGGGAATGAAAGCGGCTCCGAGCTCAGGATCAAAGAAGCCAGTGCAGACCCAGATGAGCAGCAGAGATGAGTTCGTTGCCTGTGGCCTTGATGGTGTCTCTCTGAAATCTGGTGAGGCCCTCAGAGCCTCAGAGGGAGACTGTAGCGTGGCCCCTCACCCCGCACCCCCCTACAAACCCACAGCTCATTTCAGGCATGGTCGGTCATACGGGACTCTCGCTGGAGCCTCTAGATTTTCTAGTAGTCCCCAAGGCAGGGGCAGCGGGGAACGTGGAGCCTGTCACCAGGAAGCCCTCATTTGCCCGTTCAGTGGTAACAGTGGGTACCGAGCTCTGCTCCCCGACCCTCCCCCGCAAGGGACACTGTGCTAAGTGGATTACTCATAGCCTCCCATTTAGAAGTCACAAACCCCAGAGGCAGCTGTTATCATGGCCACCATTCTCACAGAGGAGGAAACCAAGGCTCACCCGTGGTTGCCAGTCACGCAAGGCAAAGCCAAGCCCTGAACACACTTCAGCCCACCATCCACGCCTGAGGCTGCCATCCGGAAACGTTGCTCCTGCGCTGTATAAATGCTGTCACGTCCACCTTGTGTTTGCACGGGAAATGGTTTTCAAAGGTCACTTCGTCCTACCTTCCTATTTTCCAGGCTAGAAGTAGATGCCTGGAGGAGCTGTTGCTAACACCGGGGTCTGCCACAGTCAGTCAGACCTGGGGCTAGAAGCCCGTCTGCTCAGCCCGGCAGGCTCTGTGTCTGCTGGGTCTGGGTGTGATCCGTGGCTGCTGGGTCTGGGTGTGATCCACATCAGCTGGACTCAGGTGTGATCCGAATCTGCTGGGCCCAGGCATGACTCTGTAATGAAACCAACGTGAGTTCACTCTTTGGTGTGTCATGGAAACCACACCAGATGAATTGTTGCGCAAAGAAAAATCTTTATTTGGGGCAAATATGAGGACCACATGGAATAGCTTCCAAAGCCATGACTCCCCAAGAGAGGGTGAGTAGGCACCTTTTGTGTAGGGTTAGGATGAATGTTTAGCTGGAGAAGCCTTGATATTAAATGTGGGGCGGGTCACCCGTATGCCTGGAGGAAGCATGCCTAGATACACATTGCATTTTATGTGAGTGAGGCCAAGGCTCCTCCTGGGGTAGAGATTTTAGTACTATAATGAGGTAAAGGTCATTATAATAATGATCATAATGAGGCACCATTCATGGGTTAGCTCAAAGGCTCTGAGTGGTCTGGGCTGGTGGCAGGTCTTGGCAGGGCTGCCACCATCACCCAAGGGGTGGTTTCGGGTTTCATTCGCCAGAGGTAAGCCAGGGGGAAAAGGATAAGGAAAGATAAAAGACAGCGGTTAGTGAGTACAAGCAGGTACGCAGTAAAGGGCAGGTCTTGGGGTCAAGCTGGTGACAAATTGAGCCCGGGCTGTGAGGCTAGCTTGCGCCTGGCGGTGAGACCACGCCCACACCCCAGCCCCTGCTGCCCACCAGTTCGACCCGCAGAGGATGGTGCCGAGGGTGGGCAGCTAGAGCAGCAGGCTTACGGGGCTAAGTCGGTGCCTTGCGAGGCAGCAGAGTAACAAAAATAACACACTGAGGCCGCCATTTGCTGAGTGACAGGCACAGCACAGCGCTAAGGGCTTTACTGGCATCATCTCATTGAATCTTCCCATGACCTTGAAGTCACCGGTCCAAGGTCATGAGACCGAGAAGAGTTGGAGCCCAGAACTGAGCAAAAGCCCCAGTCACTGAGAACTTAGGCTCAGAAGGGCTGCGTTAGCAGGTAAACGGACAGGGAAGCCCCAGAGGGACACCTCTGCCATCAGGAAAACCCAGTCCATACCTTACAGCGATGCGGGGTCTCTGCGGACCCCAGCTGGGGCAGTCAAGTGCAGTAGCGCCCAGCTGGCCGCACCGGGGGTGTGCTGTGAACCTAAAAGACACCAGATTTTAGGGCTTAGTATGGATAAAATGCACATTATCTCATTATTAATATTCTAATATTATCACGTGTTGAAATGATGTATTAGGGTCAATAAAACACATTCTTAAAGTAAATTTCACTTTATTAACTTTTGTAATGTGACTACTACACAATTTAAATCTACAATATGACTTCATTATTACTTTATTAGACAGCAGGGATCTGAACCCCAAGTTCAGGCTGGCTGCTGACATCCTACCTAGAGGGGAAGAAAGTCTCCTGCCTCCCATGGAAGCCCCGTGCTGCTCTCAGAGGCAGGCGTCCCAGCAGTGTCCTATGTGTGGACCCTCACC